ATATAAATATAAATATATATATATAAATAGAATGCCAAATAAAACGGTGCTTGTATAAGAAACAGTGGTAAACACTCACATAGACCTCTTCCCATTGCGAGACATACCGCACCAGTCTTGACAACCGTAGTAACCTAACGAGCGACAACAGTTTCGCAAGCCTGAGGATCCTGAGAGCACGGCCAGCATGCAGGATCTGGAAGGACTCGCTAAAGTCCTGAAACTGACGATTTAGACGATTATCCCGTGGGAACGCTGCTCTACGCGGCCCATTAAAGCTGCGTGGAATTGAATCTCGGCTCGCGCAATAGGGGAGGAACGAGAGCGGCTTAAGCCGAGTTTGCTTGTCTTGTCCGGAGGATTTTCGGTGAAAATTATAGCACCTTGTCAACCGGATTTAATTAACTCTGGATAGGCGGTTCTCCAGGAATATTTCGGAAAAATTCGCACAGGATTACCGAGCTCCGAGATTTCGATCGATGCTACGGGATGATATGGAATTTAGCGAGGTAGATTTATCCTAAACAACACTCTGCTTTTGGAAATCGTATTTTCCGCTCTCACCCTCCAGGCGTAATTTAAATGCACAGAATTTGTGGCGGGAATTATGAATTCAGTGGCGAGTTAGCGAATCGGGATCGAGAATCGTTGGGGCATGCTGCAATGATTTTTTCTCACGATTTTTGCCCGTCTTCGACGTTATTCGAAATATAATCACGTTCAAAAATGGGAAAATATGACAAAAATTATGCAAAAGTTTATTATACCTCGCTTATTCCGAGTTTCGACCGAAATAGAATTTTTTCAAACTTAACAACTGGAAACATCGCGATCTTTCAGGACGATCCAATGGTTACACTGTCCAACAAATTTTAATTTTTTTCTCTAATCCGTAATATCCATTGGGCGATTTTAATACTTCATTTTATCCAAAAATCGTGCGTTTTTAGAAAAACCGAAATTTTTTAGAAAAATTAAAAATCCGGAACTGTACGAGAATAGTACTGATTAAAATTCGCGTTGGACAACGTTACCTGAGCATGCTGGGTAGATATTAATTTAACGGAAAATTAGAAAAATTGTAAGTCATAGTAACGCAAACGATTCAATATTGATCTGCTGTACCGAGAAACGGTTATGATTAATGTATTTACGCAGCTGGAAATACTATACGCTGAAATGCTGGGGTATCTCGTCAAGGCTCGTGTAAACAGATTAATTACATAAATCGAGTTTGCTGAGAAACTAAAACATAACTCCGGCTTAACGAATTAAAGCAAGAGATACGTACGCCAGGGTGCGGATAATTAATATGCACTTACTTGATTAAATATGAGGAAAATGTAGTCTAGTGGTATGGAGGAAATGAGGTCGAGAAAGAACCAAGTCCTGAGGTAGTGTTTCGCGATTAACTTCGGGTCCAGGATCACTTGTTCGGCGTTATCCTGTTGCATTATACCTGCGAAGAAGCACAAAGAATACGAATTTTTATTTCCACCTGTCGTATCTCTTAGTATCTCATTTTTAAAATTTCTAAAACGAGCAACCATGCAATTTTATGTTTGTTTACATTTTATATTTCTATTACTATCGTCATCGTTATTTTTTAATTAATTATTTTATTCGATATCGTATTTAATGTATAATTTATGTTTAATATTATTATTTATTATTTAATACTGTATAATGTATTATTATTTTATTTTAAATTATTTTAATTAATTCTTTTTATAAAAGCGAACATTTTTAATTTACACTTTTAATTTTCAAAGTAGATTTTCTATATTACACGTAATCTGAGATATACACGAACAGAGGAATCCTCTTTAATTAAACCCCTTTCTATCACTTGGTATTTGCATTGAATTTTACTGGACAATTCCTACGAGGTTCCAACGGGATGACAATTACACCTTGATCCTAGCAAATGGACCTTCAGAAATAAATACGAACGCAAACAGCAAATTAACACATGTAAACAGAATTGGGAGGATCAATAATGTCGCTTTTGATGGTCGGATTAAGAGGGATAGCTCTGTATAGTTCGTGTGTATGTGCTGCTGCATGTTGGTACTCTGAAGTTTATTATGTGGCTTCTCCCACATTTGCCAGCGGAGAACTATTTCTGTAAGTTCTCATCTTGTCATCGATTTTCTCATCCCATGAAGATTGAAAATTATTACCCAGGCTATCCATCTGCCTAGGAGGACTGAATATACTTCATCATTCTTCAGAAAAGACCTTCGTAAACTTCCCCTGCCCCGCAACATAAAATAACATACCTCTATTTCTAAAAGTAATTTCCTCCCTCAGTTTTTCCCAATTTTAATCACCTAACAAAACCCTTAATAAAATCCTATTAAATCTTCTCCAACTTTATCACGCAACAAAAACATCAATAATTTTTCTCTACTCCTCAAAGAAGACATACCAAGTGTTTGCACTGTTTTTACACCGTTCTCAACGATTTACGAAAGAAAATAATCAAGTGGAAACATTCTTAACGCTTCTCTGGTCCTTCCAATGATAATCCCAATTCTTTACATTCATCAAACCCCATAGAAATCGGTATGGGTAACGTGCAAAACAGCGAAATCTCGATAAACCGTGACCCAACGTCCCAATGCAGGCGCCATCGCAGCCGCCGCTGCCCCCACTACAGACCACTCCGCCGACCTCGCCATCTGGCGTCTTTCCCGGAAGCTCGCGCCTCATTAGCACCGAAACATTTCGCTCCCGATCGACTCGATCGGCGTCCACCGGGCCGGGCGTTAGTATTCGGCACGCGGAACGCAATATTGGTCGACGGCCGGTAATCTGGATCAAGAATTCGCGACAATCGCGAATTCGACGCGGCCCACGTACACGGTTTAACGCGTACAATGGCTTTCATCGGGCGCGGCACGTGACCCAATTTCCCTGCAGGTTCCTGGGACCGAACTCGAACGCGTTTCAAATTAATCCCCCGGCAATAACGAAACCGTCTGAGCCGGTATACCAGCGTGTCGAGCAATGTTATTATTGCACGGGACCTGTTCCATGCTTGAAGGGTTGCCAACCGAACGTGCCTCCGCGACGTTCCCTTTCTAGATTTAATAACTGCCTACGATGCATTTGGGGAGCGCTTGATGTATAACCTCTCTCTACGGGACGGTGCTTTCGTGACGTTTTCGAGGCGCGTGATTGCTACGTGTTTGATAAATTTCGCGATGGAGTATCGTTCGGATTAGTTGCGGTTATTGGCTGGGTGAGAATGTTTTGTTCCGTTTCTTTTTATGATGGAGGAGCACGTAATAAACTGGAGAGAATACCTGCGATACGGTTCGTCGGTGAGATACTTTTTAGAGGTTATGTATTGTTACTGAGCCGTTGAAATGGTGGATTTCGTAAATTCTTTTATGGTATTTTGAAATTGTATTTTAATTGGGACTGTGAAAACTTTATGTCTTAGGGTTTGGTGGCGTGGGAGATTTTTATAGTATCACAGTTTATTCTAAATTATGTAGGGTTTTTAGATGCCATTTTAGGCGTCTACTGTCGGCCATATTTTCTAACCTTTCTCTACGTTTTAACCACTTACCTTGCGATTTAAGTTTCGAAGGTGCGTGCCATAATCGAACAACAAAGTCACACAGTCACGTATCGAGCCATATCGTCCAAACATGACGAAGAATAACACGCAACTGGCAAGTTGAGACTTGCCTCAACAGAAAAACATCGACGAAAATTAACGAGCCAGTGTTTACGTTTGACTTTGCCTATAGTTCACGCCTCGAGGCCATAGGACTCAATTTAACGACACGGATTAGGCTTGTTTCTAATTTTCGTCGACGACTTCCTGCCTCAGTTGCGTGTTATTCTTCGTCGCGTTCGGACGAGATGGCTCGACGTGCGACTGTATGACTGTGCGGGTGTGTACCTGTGCGAGTGTGTACCTGTGTGAGTGTTTGCCTGTGTGACCAACCTAGCTGTTGATCATGGCACGCACCATCGGACTCAAATCGTAGGACAAGCGGCCAACCATCTAAAAGGTATTTAATATTTCAATTAATTAAGAAAAATATCATAAATCAAAGGAAGCCTAGAATTTTTGAATCCCTGCATGTAGCGATCAATCAATTAAATTTCTCCAAATGTCAAGAACGCATTACGTGTCAATTTAATATTACGTGATCAGTTATTTTGATTTCTAGTTACTTTGACTAGTTCGTGGTTGTTTATTGCAGCTAAATTGCACAATAATTAAATGTGCTTGTTATCAGAATATAGTCTCGAACACGCGTTTTACAATATTTAGGTGTTTCGGAAATGGGTGTCAAATAAATACTGACTTTTGCTTCCTGTCTTATCTCGTCGTCTCCTGTTCGGAGTTTTCTCAAGTTTGTTTTGATTGGTTAAAGTAGAAGATGTTAGTGGAGGAAAAAGTTAGTAGAGTTCTTTGATTGAACGTGGGCGTGTTGGAACTTTTAGTTGAGGGGTGGGAACTGTCAAGAAAGTCGCATTTCGGTAGTCAATGACGTGATTTATAAGTAGGTGTCTGTCCATTGCTTTGGTGGGTCTGTTGCACGTGGGTCCACTGGGTCCACTAGGTTCACTGGGTCCACTAGATCCACTGGGTCCACTAGACCCACTAGATTCACTGGGTCCACTGGGTTCACTGGGTCTACTGGGTTCACTGAGTCTACTGGGTTCACTGAGTCTACTGGGTCTACTGGGTCCACTGGGTCGCACTATCTACTCTAGAAGTCGTCAATTTTCGATACATTTGCATTTAAATATATATTTAATAATCCGCTTAATCCGCTAAATGGGCGACGAGTCATGTCTAGTCTTCGAAGTTAAAGTCGTGACATAAAATAATAAAGTGTTTAGAATTATCGAAAATTAAAATAAGAATTATGCTATAAACACAGCTTCTGGGACGGAGCATTGAACAATAACGCGACACTATTAATCTTACTCCCTATAGCTCTACAACGTGTCAACCTCCTGTCCCTCGGGTTTGATTAAAGAGTAATTTCCCTCGTAAGAATTAACTCTTTGAAACTATTTCTCGTTGCTCGAGCTACCTTTGATAAAACGAAATTGGATCCGCCGGTCTCGCATCGGAACGTAACTTCATAAAAACGTAATCGACTCGCGTGAAAGCCGCGATTTTCCGGGTTTCACGCTTTTGTTCGCCTCCTTTCACGGCTCCACCGACAGCAGCCGTTCCCTTTAATGTCAACAATTAGAAGTTCCTGCTTTTCAAACTTCCCACGAGCTTTCTCGAGGCGGTGAGGCTGTCTCAAAGGAGTCTGCGGCTCAAAGACTCGCAACGGTATTACCTAATCGCGAGTAGGTGAATGGAGACGCGTGACATTCGAGCAAACTTGATAATTTTTCGATCTAAATCTCCCTTGGATGGTATTATCTTTTATCCCGGGGATAAGTTGACGATAAGCGACGATATTAAGGTTGACACAATAATTTTAGGTTAGGCTTCACTGCAGATGTCTGGCTATTTCAGAGCTGGCGGAGGGAGGAGGGAATTTTTGTTTCGAGAAGAATATCTGGTAACCTTCAGAACTTTTTAATGCCTCGAAGCACGAGGAAGAACTCCCTGGAACACTTCACAGCTTACAAACATCTGCAGGCAAGGTTTACCCCCTTTAGGCATTCGCGACGGATCTAAACTCTTGAATAGCGTTTCGAAACTTTCGTTCGTAGAATTGACGAGGTAGCTGGAATGTTTCAAGATTTAAGTGGCGATAGCGTAAAGTACTTCTAAAAATAAGATTTCCGCCGTATCACCCGTGTAATCATTTTTATTCGAAGTAAACGACAAATGGTTCTCATCGCGATTAGGAATTGCTAGACAGCTTCGTGCGAGGAGAATTATTGCACGAAATGCTTACTATTGTATCGTTTCACGTGAACATAATTATTATTATTACATACAGACAGATAAGTTTATTTAAAAAATTGTTTCCAACCGTAGAAAAAACACGAACATTCCGAATGTGATTACGTTTGAAATTTGAAACAAGTTTGAAATAATTTTATGATCAAAATATTTCATGTTTATGTTCAGGTAGTTTAGAAGAAGTCAGCCATGTTGGTATAGAAGTAAGAGTGTCTCTCTTCGACCCATGTCACTCATTTTCTTTGTCATACACTGTCTATGTATTTCGAAATCTGTCCAATTAAGAAAATTCACGAGTATCTTTACAGGCCAATCTACAATCAGTTGCCAATCACAGCTGAGTGACTTCTTCATACAGTCCACATTTCAAATTAGTGGATTTTATCGTCAGACCAATTAAGAAAATTCGTACGCGATCGTCCTTATGTGTGCATGCAATTAGATCAGTTGTCAATCACAGCTGACTGACTTCTTCTGAGCTCCCAACAGTACACGTCTAAAATTATTGTAGTAGATCCGAGTGTCCGGCAAATTAAGAGAATTCGTACGCCATCGTCCTTATCTGTGCAGGCAATTAGATACATTCTCAATCACAGCTGACTGACTTCTTCTGAGGCATATACAGTATAATCTAAAATTTGTAGATCCGAGTGTCCGGCAAATTAAGAAAATTCGTACGATATTATTTTTGTGTGTATGCAATTAGATCAGTTGTCAATCACAGCTGACTGACTTCTTCTGAGCTCCCAACAGTACACGTCTAAAATTATTGAAATAGATCCGAGTGTCCGGGAAATTAAGAGAATTCGTACGCGATCGTCCTTATGTGTGCATGCAATTAGACGCGTTCTTAATCACAGCTGATTGACTTCTTCTGAGGCCTATGCAGTACAGTCTAAAATCAGTAGATCCTAGTGCCCAGCAAATTAAGAAAATTCGTAAGCTATCGTTCTTATGCCTGTATGCAGTTGTCAGATCAGTTGTCAATCAAAGTTGACTGTCTTCTTCTGAGCTCTATACAGTAGAGCCTAAAATTAGTAGAACCCAGTGTCCGGCAAATTAAGGAACTTCGTTCGCGATCTTGGGGTACACACGCGACTAGGCGAACCTACTGATCGGTGACCAATCTAAACTAACCTACTGACTTCTTCTGAGCTACCTACTGTATTGCTTCGCAACAGCGGGTCAGACCAAACCAGTATCCAGTGTCAATCCACGCGACATAGCGTCAAATGGTAACGATTTAATTCACTATACCACACCACGTCGTAACCATTGCCATGTTAGACGTTTGTGACCACGTACACGTGTATTGTATTCGCATAACGAAAGAGTTAACCGAATCGTGGCTCGTTTTAGGGGACCTAGCCAGCGACTCGTCGGTCGGCCAGGGAGAAACGAGAAGAGGAACGAGGTCGGCCATTCTTTTCCCAATGTGCACGCGACAATGCAAAGTTTGCATCGCTTCTGGCTTCCTCTACCGCGGACACGAGCTTACCATTAGCTTCAACGTGATCGTCCAGCAAAATGCCAAGCCCTTTCGTCGCTCCTTTTTGTCCCCGACGACGGATCGAACGATTTTTAGCTGAATACCCCGGCACACCGTCGATAAGGCTTTGAAACGAGAGGCCGGGTTCAATTGGAACGAGGAAGTTTTTAAAAGACGAGACGGGATTCGCGTTGGCAAACAGTCTTGGACTTCTCAGACTCGATTCCTTCGCCTCTTTTTCTTTTTTTCGCCGTCGCGCGCGACTTTCAGCTGTGTGAATGCGTGTTTAAGCTTCGGCTTTTATTAAATTTCAAATGTGCCGGGACGCGCAGGGAAATATAGGTCTTGCTCGAGGATTTTTTCTTTACTCTTTGGACCCCGGAATCTGGGTAATAGAGCCATTGTGTCTTCCCGGGGTTTCTGGGTTTGTAGATCATAATTTTTCTCTTGATTTTTTTTATATCTTTTTGGCGGAGGGGGTGGTTATAGACGGAGTTGAACGTTACGTGTTTAATTTTCGATAAATTGTAGACTTTTCATTCCTTTGGATTTAATAGATCAGTCGGTGGTGGGTTGGTTAGGTTGGTTTTATTATAGTAAGTGTTAATAAATATCTTAACGCTTGAGCTACTGTTTATACAGTATAAGTATAGTATGTAACGATATAGTGTAATATATATGTAATAATTGAAATTATGTTCTATTATATCGAAATTCAAAATTAATATTTTTTGGAAGCATTTCAATCAATTTGGTAGCTCCAGCGTTAAAAATATTTTTCTACATAATAGATTAGAGTGATTATAATTAACGAAGGTTAATACCGATTAAGCTTCTTTGATCTTCGGATTGTATGGGCCTTATAAATGTTTATGCTTACCTGTCCTGAAGTTGACGACAATGTCTATGAGGAATATCGTGTCGGAAAGGCAGTTGAAGGCTATCCACCTAGTGCTTAGGTCGTCATTGAAAAAACTAATGGCGACTGGCAGAATTATCAGATTAGCTACCAGCAGGAGGAGCATGCAGAGGTCCCAGTAAAATCTGCAATTAAACGTAAAACAATTGTCAATTCCGTGTCTGTCACATAGGTTCTTCTAATTCTAATTCTAAAGCACCTAATTACCAATTGAGTAATACAACGTTACATAATATTATCATATGACACGATAAGATTAATTCTGATCTATAACAAACAATTACAACTAGGAACTCGTTGTACTAGAAAAATAGGGTTCTACTGCAACAATCTAACATTATTGACTACTACTGGAAAATATTCATGTGATATTAACCCTTCATGGTCAAATATAATATTTTCCAATGAGGAAAATTTCCATTGTACAAATATGTAACTAAAATGTATCTCGACTAGAAAGGGTTAATATTGAATCTACTATACATAACAATAGCATAATTTCAATACTATAATTTAATATATTTAATACACCATATTAACTGTCTTTGCATCTAAAACACACGTAATAAACCATAAAGTTTGCGCTTTTCGTGTAAACCTCATGCAACTCGTCCCAAGCTCATTTCTCGAAACAAACATCCGCGAGATGACTATAATTAAACGCCATCTTGTCACGAGCCACCCAAAGCTCCGAGCTTGCTGCTTCATCAGCTCGGCACGGGCCACTTCTTCGCCTTTTATTCGCGGGATAAGTCGGCCCTGGCTGAATTTTGCATTAGAAATTTACAATCCGGTCCCAGGGTATAACCTACTTAACACAAAAGGCCGCGGCCTTCTTCAGAACCGGCCATTCCCAGGATTGTCTTTACGGACCAACTTTACTCAATTACCAAGACCTAATCCAACCTTTTAAGCTGCCCACCACGTGCTTGCCCGGAAACGCTGCTCAGAAATTTTATTTCCATTCTGTTTACCGTCGAGAGCCTCCACGAATTCCCGTAGCCCGGATTCTTTTCCTTCCATTTTTTCGGTTAACGAGCGACGAAAGGGAGACAAAGAAGGAATATCGTTCGTAAAGCCACAGGAAACGCGCCAAACTTCCGTCGACAGACGGCTTTTCTCATTGATATCGATCGAGCTTTTTGTACTCTATTCACTGATTTTATTACACACTTTCTGTGAACGTTCCGTATATAAGATGTTTGATTATGTTCCTTAGAGTTTGCACGAAGAATTCATTCGTTTATTCGCGTTTATTTATTTTTTTCTTTAGAAAATCGTGCATTTTTTAATGAAAGGTTAATAATTCTCGTACGTGGAATAGTTTGTTTTTAGAGCATTTGGAGCAATGATATGGAGGGGTCTGGAGAACAGATGTAGGAATATTAGGAGACTGGAATAACTAAATATTTGGAAAATAGAAGTAGAATACATTTTAGTAGTAGAAAGACGGAATGCAATGTTAAAAGAATATTGTGATATTGGAAAAACGAAATGCGATGTTAGAAGATGAAGAATTCTAACATTAGGGGAACAAAATTTAATATTTAGGGACAGAATAATAGAAATTCTAAAGATATTTGCATTCGATTTAAATTTCCAATCATTTCAAAAAATTTATATTCAGGAACTATCATTACAACCCCTAAAATTTTTAATAATCATCAATCATATTATAAAAGGATATGTTTTTAATTATAAAAGGAAAAATTGAACAGGTGTGAAATAATTCATTTTAGAAAATTATTGTTATCCTTAAAATCCCTCCAAAATTTAGTACAATTACTACACCTACCCCTTTTCTCAGTTCTCACAACGAACTAGACCTGAGTACCCAACATTGTACCAACCATTCCAAAACAGTATAATTAAATACACCAACGATACCAGGAATCTAATACAAAATTCTTTAAAAAATTAAAAATGATTAATAATAGCCAAAAAATTCTTTAAAAATTAAAAATTATTAACCCTTTGCACTCGAGAGGTGACCCTCAGTCACCATTTCATAAAATTTGGAAGATCGATATTAATTAATATATCAAATTTAATGCAATGTAACAGTGAGCAAAGTATCGAAATTAAATAACTCTACAATTATACAATTATTTATTTACTGCTCAAAAAAGTATCGTCAGTTTTTTCATAGAGAATCTTTGATTTTCTACTCTTCTCTAGCCAAAAATCGTCGAATGCAAAGGGTTAATAAGAGCCAAAAAATTCTTTAAAAATTAAAAATTATTAATAATAGTCCAAAATTCTTTAAAAATTAAAAATTATTAATAATAGTCAAAAAATTCTCCAGAAAATATCTATATCCCAATCGAACGTTATCCTCGGCTTCAGCAACAACGCGTGTCTGTCATGCACTTCCTGTCAAACTCAGGGTGGCAAACGCTATGTCTCCATCGATATATGGTTGTTTCGCGTGTGCACGCAGGAAAATATCACGCACCAAATACGCTTTTGGTTGCCGGCTGACCTAGAAACACTCGTCGAAATCATTACGCCGCGGTTGAATAAGGGAAACGACGATTCATCGTCATCCCTCTAGAAGATTCAGACCGCGGCGCGCCAAGAGCATCGCTTTTTCTCGAAGACACGGCGAACGCGAGGCAAGAACGTTCTCCAAGGGCGAAAGTTTAATTAACAGAGTCCACGGGCTGCTTTTGTTTCGACTTACTTTCAGCTTCACCTTTTCAGCGCTTAAGTAGTCTAGGGGTCTAGGGATTTAAAACGAAGTGGCGGCTTTTCGAGACGGCGGAAATATTGTTCCAGCTGGCCCGGCTGTAGATTTTTCGCTGTAACGAATAACTCGTTTAACTTGTAATCGCAATTACAGGCCGAAGAGACAGCTCGATGTTAATTGCAGGATTGGTTAATTAAATTTGAACCACGATATCGTAAGATGGGATTAATTTGGTAATAGAACCTTGGTAATTTGCAATCTTCTTACTTTACCTCGTCGTATTAGTATTTTCGGATCAGGTGACTTATTTTTGGATAAAATTTCGCGTATTATTTAATCGTGTAAAATTTGGAACGAGAGACGAGGTAAGACAAACATTGTTAATTAGAACTACTTCGATATCAAAATTTAGAATAAATAGATAGTACTAATTAAAATTGTACGATGGAAATAATTTGCAGAAAATGACTGAGACTAATTACTTTAATTAATTTGTCAGTCACAAAGTTAGTATTAAACTTCCACGACTGGACAAATGACTGGTGGTTGAAGAAATAAATGAAAACTAAAATTGTCAAACTACTTAAAATAATTAGTTCCAATTATTTCCTATTTTATCCTTTGGCAATTATTTTCACCATACTACTACAGTTTAAAAATAATTATCAATAAGTTTGACTAGGTATCATCTGTATTTAACACAGATATTTATTATATTTAATATTACAATTAATCGAGTCAATTATCCAACTAGAATTGTCAAACTACTTAAAATAATTAGTTCCAATTATTTTCTATTTCATCTTTTGGCAATTATTTTCATCATACTATTATAGTTTAAAAATAATTAACAATAACGTTGACTAAATATCATCTATATTTAACACAGATATTTATTATATTTAATATTACAATTAATCGAGTCGATTATCCAACATCTCCAATTCCAATCTCAGCTGAAACAACCCTTTCAATATCAAATACCCATTTAAAAGCCAAAAGGGAGACCTGAACCACAACAACTCAAACTTAACTTTAGCACACCCCTCTCCTTACCTCACAATCTTCTCAACAACCTACATCCACCACCAATGCAGATAACCTCCATACATCCCCTCACAATGTCCAAAATCCCTCAGCCAATCGATACTCCCCACTCTCACCCCAATCTCCCACCCTCCACCATAAAACGAAACCGGAAAAGGAAAGAAAAAAATAAAAAAAACGGAAGCGAGAAAACTTCCCTCGCTAGAAGATCATCCCACTCCGCAAAGAAGGGGGCAGAGCTTTCCCTGAAGCGAGAAAGAAGCTCGAGAGAAGGGTAGAAGAATCGAGGGTGTAGCGGAATTTCTGAAAGGTCCGCTTTAATCAGTTCGATTCCAGGCCAGCCAGCCAACATTGGCCCACTTCCCGAGTAATAACGTAGCTACATCGGGGCAATAAATGTGCTCGTAGCTCGAAGCAGCCTCAGCTTGGCTCGAAAGCCAGAGCCGGAGAGGGGTGGCTTCTTCGTCAGCACGCACCGATGAACGCGACCTTCCGCCTTGACACCTTCGTGGCAAGCCCCGAGTAGCTGTTTATTCCCAACCCTCTACTCGCCACTCTTCCTGCTTCTGTCAAACTCTCCCACCCGACCGCCCGGTGTCTTTGACGGAGGGAAATGTGCAAGCTGCTTGTAGAAACGGGTCGCCTTTATTACGTCTAGGGGTGGTTTACACTCGGGCAAGACTATTGGACGTTTTCGGTGTAACTTCTTAGGGAAGTCGTGTCGGGCTGTTTATAGAGAGCGGTTGGTTGGAAGAATTACGGGTAATTTCGGGGTTTTCGGGTGGTTCATGGTGATTACAGCAAGGGTGACGTGAATTTTTATGGATTTTCTCGGTCTGTGTATTATATATATTTATTTGTTTAGTTTATTAATTATTTAGTTATTTTATTAGGGTGATGGATGTTAGTGATAAGAGGAAAAATATTATATATATTTATTTACTTATTTTATTGAGTATTTTGTTAATTTGTTAGGGTGGTGGTTGATAATGATTCAAGGAGGAATATTATATATATTTATTTGTTTATCTTATTAATTATTTAGTCATTTTGTTAGGGTGGTGGTTGATAGTGATTAGAGCAAGAATATTATATATACATTTATTTGTTTATTTTAATGATTATTTAATTATTTTGTTAGAGTTTGTTGGGTTGGTGGTTGATAATGATTCGAGGAGGAATATAATATATATTTATTTATTTATTTTATTGATTATTTAGTTACTTCATATTTACAGTTTCTTGTTAGTCTGGATTTACAATGAGAATTTTATAATTAGCTATCAATATAAATATTTACCCTTGCGTTTATTAAGCATACATATAATTTATACACTATCAATATTTATTTTTTATTTGTTTACTTATTTAATATCAATTTGTTTTTAT